CTAACCAAAACCTTCTAAACTTTTCATTATTATTATTATTATTATTACTGTTACTCGACGAGCCGGTGCCATGTGTTACTTTACCATTCATCCCACAACTTCCCCTCACGAATGCTTAGGGAAGAGGTGGGTGGTTTGGGCACGGTTGTGCGATAAAAAGCATAAAGGAATATATATATATATATTCGCATGGTTACAATGGATCGAATTCCTCAAAGATGCTGCACTACTAAACATGTTAGTGCATTGTTTTTTTTTAACACATTGAATTATATGAGGACTGTAAATAAACTTTCCTAGTAATGACGGCTACACGATAAAATCGATCATGCCAAGGTCCTTGCTAATGATTGCGTTCACATTATTCTATTTGTATTTGCATAGACTTTTTGTGTGGACAGATTTCTGCATCAAAAGAAGGAAATGATATGACTAAAGCATTGCTGAGAAATTCAGAACAAACCCACTGTCGAATTTATGCCCAGGTGAATGAGAGAGGATAATAAACGAAATGTGGACCGCGTGGATGAATAAGAGCGGCATTTGTATAGATCGTCATGTAAAGGATGAGTGGGGCTTTTCAGAGAGAGAGAGAGAGAGAGAGGATTTTCTTTGCAAAAATTTCACATCCACCACACACCAGTGAAGTTCACACAACTTTTTTTAGATCGAATACCAACGGGTTTAAAAGACACGACCGATAACCGACAAACTGCGACGAATAATTGTGAAATCTTTCGTAAGTAGTCCAGCAATAATCACTGTGGAAGAAGAAAAAAACACCGTGCTAAAAGGCGAAATGATTTTGTGTTTGGCGTTAAACTGCCTAAATCGTCAAAGTTGAAAAGATAACCCAGGAATTTTCTTTGCACAGTTACTATCATTTATATTTCACACTTATCTGACGACAGTCTGTATGCTGAGCAAATCAAGGTACAATAATCTTTATAAGAAAGAAAAACGTCACGGATGAGATGGACGAGACGATGGAGCAATCATACTGTATTGCAACATCATGCGATGGAGGTAAGCGGTGGCTCAAGTGTTGATCACGTATGATTCAATAGTTTTAGCGGAGGGGGACACAGAGGCATACGCGTACTAGCAAGATAACCAACGATATGTGTCACGGGAATTGAGGCGTGTGTGACCGAATCCCGTCTCACAATCGTACCCCGCACTTCAGCGTGAGGTAGAGAAATCGGTTACATGGTAGTCATCTAGGCATCGCTGGAGGCTTGTCAGCACCGGTGAGGTCAACGCGACAGCTTGAAATAATCCGAGGACGTCTTGAAATTATACTGAGACAACTTGAAATGATCGCCAGACATCTTGAAATAATGGTCAGTCAACTTGAAATGATCTTGATGCGATACTGAGTCAACTTGACTTGCAAAAGGTATGGACAGTGAGCAAACCCATAAACACCACATGTTTTATTCCTTACTGGACCAGGACTACATTGAGCTGGTGATACCAATGAAGGCTCGCACCGTTTTTCCAACTTTCTTCTTACTGGAGTCGTTGGGTTACGTATAGTTAGACCAGATTCAGTGATAGTTCGCAAAGACATAACTCTGATCACCATTCCCTTACACTTCGCGAAATCCTCCTATATGACGAAGCGTCTCAAATAGCCCTACCCACTGTCTTCCCGTGGCGTAGATGTTTTCCCACCAAAGTGAGAAGGCGAAAACCTGAAATCCGGGGTTACAACCGGGTCGGTGGATCACTGGTAGTTCACCTAGGAGAGTTAGCCAAAAACCCCGATTCCAAACCAAGCAAGAAGAGGCGTACAAACCACACGCACGCCTTCCCGTTTGGGGCGGTTGTGGTCACCGGCATAATTGGGCACCTTGGACGTTTGACCCCGTCCAAAGAGCGTATGATCCGATGAACTGCACACCGGCTCCTAATGGATTGCGGTTTTCGCATAACGTCCCGCTGCCTTGCGGGTCAGGCTTTGGCTAGCCAAAGGCTTCAGGTGGGGACCCCGAGGTTATCTTTCCTTCTCGACCAGGGTAACCGGGAAATAACATGCGCACACAACCCATGAACACATTCTTCAGATTGTTTTGTTCTTATGTTTTGGCACATTTGCCAGTTCTCTGTAATTGGTTACGTGTTGAAATAATAATAATAATTTAACATCTCTCGCTGAGTGTGTGTGTGTGTGTGTGTGTGTGTGTGTGTGTGTGTGTGTGCTCGCGCGTCAGTGTGGAATGTGGGTTCCGTGCCTCGGTTCATGAGCAACTTCGCCTTGTGATTAAAACGGATAACACGGAGATTGTCCGTCCTGCGTACATCTTTCTCATCGCATGTTAAATATGATATTGCGTTTGTCAAAAGTTCTTGTTTTGAACTATATTTATTATATTCAGCCTTGGACAGATAGAACTTCGTCTTCAGTTCAGAAGTCTACCGTACTCCTAAAATGCAAGTTTGATTCAGTTAGAGCCAGAACGATCTCGCTAAACTTGTGTTTCGTTGTTTTGCATGCGGCTAACCAATTTTCCCTCTGTTTCGGAAGCATGCCCAGAACAATTTCTTTGCTTTTTCTGTCGTTATATTCCTCTCATTTGCCATGCTACTGATTCCTGTCAATCGACTGATTTTACACTGTTTCAATCTGTCTCTCCTTTTTGTTTGCTATTTCAGCCTAGGGCATTTGGTGTAGAGGGGCCGCTGGCTGAGTCGACCGCTGGACCATTTCGTATCCCGACTGCTCACCCCACATCTAGTGTGATGCACAAACGAGCGCGAGTGGAGACGGTGAGTACACTTTTCATCTTCGAAGCTCTTTCAAGTTCCCGTGTGATTTTCCGGCTACTGTGGTCGAACGGAAAGTGTCCGGATGGAAAACTGCATATTAACGGGTCTTA